ACAGTCATTAAGATCGGAATCCGGGACAAATTTGCAACCAGAGCCCTCGGGGAATTTGGCAAGGAGTAGTTCCAGAGAGAGCCTAAATTCAATGACATCCTCGGTCAATACAGGAGATATCTGCAGTAGAAAAGTAAAACTCTCAAAGCTGGAATTGAAAAAGTTTTATGGAAAGATCGCAGAATGGTCAGAGTTCTGGGACGGGTTCAAGAGTGCGGTACACGATGACAGCCAACTTGCCAAGGTAGAAAAATTAAAAAATTAAAAAGTTATCTAGAAGAGCCGGCACGAAGCGTCGTGACGGGATTTGCACTTACAGACGCCGATTATGAGTCCGCCATTGAACTGTTGAAAAGCAGATATGCGAAGCCTAGCGTTATAAAACGAGCCCACATCAATGACCTTATCAATATGGCTCCAGTCTACAATGAGAAGAGTTTGCAGAGATTGCGTTATTTGCATGATCAGATCGAAACACGCTTTCGCGCAATGGAGGCTCTAGGTGTAAGCAAAGAGACCTACTCAAGTGTTGTTGTTCCTGTTCTAATGGGGAAACTTCCAGAGTCCGTGAGAATCAATATGATTCGATTTGGAAAGAACCATATGGACTGGAACTTGGACGACATGTTGGAAGCTTTTCAGAAGGAGCTAGAGGTTCTGGAGGGACATTTTCCCATCATGCAGCGAGCCCAGCAAGGAGACAGAAGACAAGAGCAGCATTCCAACAGGCCAAGACAGCAGGATAGACCTCCAACGGCCTCTTCCTTGCTTACTACAAGAGATGCTAAGATGAAGTGTGCATTCTGCAAAGAAAGTCACGCATCCGAGAAGTGTGAAAAGGTGAAGGATCCGGACGAGCGTAAGACAATTTTAATTAAGAATGCTAGGTGTTTTAGTTGCTTAAAACCAGGCCATAGATCTTTTAAATGTCGTCTTAAGGTAGATTGTAGTAATTGTAAGGGAAATCATCACTGCGCCATTTGTCCTAATCTTGCCCGAAGTAAGGAAGCGCAGCCTAAGCCTAATGCACCTAAGCTTGACCCCACCGCATCGGCTTGGGTAGGTAGCACTGGCTCTGAAGTGAATGTGGCCCTGCAGACAGCCTTAGCTCTGGTGATTGGCAAGGATAGAGTGAGAGTTTTATTTGATACAGGAAGCCATAAATCTTTCATCACAGCTAAGGCTGTTGGCAGACTCAGATTAAGGCCTGTGAGGAGTGAACAGCTAGGAATAAAGGCGTTTGGGAGTAAGGAGGCACATGTTGCTTTGCGAGATGTAGTGCAAATTTCGCTAAGTCTATGCAATGGAGGAGAGAGTGTAATAATAGAAGCTTTTGTAGTTAAGGATATCGCTGATATTCCTAATGTTCATATAGAGGTAGTTAAAAAGAAATTTGCACACTTAACAAAGTTGTCATTCTCAGATCTTTGCAAATCCAAAGACAGCTTGGAAGTTGATTGCCTAATTGGATCGGACTGGCTATGGCAATTCCAATTGGGGGAAACGATACGAGGGGGGCCATACGAACGTGTGGCGGTCAAGACCAGCTTGGGCTGGGTTTTATCAGGACCGGTTAAAGGTGAGCAACTTGATTCTATTGGCTGTAATGTGAATTTTTGTATTGATTCTATACCTCCTTTAGTTGCAGGTGAAAAACATGATTTAGATAATCAGATACAAAGGCTTTGGGACCTTGATAGCATTGGAATCCGAGAAAAAGATAAGGTGCATGAAAATGTACTTGATGATATTGCGTTTGTGGGTAACAGATATTCTGTTGGGCTTCCCTGGAAATCTGGACACAAGCCCCTAGCTTCAAATTATAATGTTAGCTTGCATCGTTTGAAGTGTCTTGTCAGGAAACTAGAGCAGAACCAAAAAATTTATAAACAGTATAATGACATTATTTCCCAGCAGGCTGCAGAGGGAGTAATAGAGAAGGTCACAGATCTTGAACCTGTAGGTAAGGTACACTATCTCCCTCACAGAGCGGTAGTGAGAGAGAATGTAGAAACCACCAAGGTTAGGGTGCGATGCTTCTATTAAGGATCGTGAATCTGGGGTGTCATTGAACGACTGTTTGCATAAAGGACCCTCTCTGACCCCTTTAATCTTTGATGTGCTTCTCAGGCTTAGAATCTACCCTGTAGCTCTTGTTGGGGATATTGAAAAGGCTTTTTTAAACATCGAAATACATCTCAAGGACAGAGACTCTTTAAGATTTTTGTGGCTAAGTGATATGCATGCCAAGAACCCTGGAGTAGTAATCTACCGGTTCAACAGGGTGTAACTCATCCCCTTTTCTCCTAAACTGTGTTTTGAGACACCACATTATGAAATATGAAAATGAGGATCCTGAATTTGTGGAAAAGATGATAGGAGGGTTCTTTGTTGACGATCTAGTGGTAGGTTGTGAAGACACACAGGAAGCTTTAACCCTATATAAGAAGGCTAAAAGAAGGATGAGCGATGGAGGATTTCATTTCCGGAAATGGAAGACTAATGACAAAGAGTTAGCAGGGGAGATAGCAAAGAAGGAAATAAATAGAGTGAAAGAGGACAAAGCCTCTAAACATGAAGACACATCGTTTGCTAAGGAGACTCTAGGCATGCCAGACAGTATGGGGCAGAAGACTAAGGTTTTGGGTGTAACGTGGGACAACACAAGAGATACCTGGGAGTTTAATCTGGGGAACAGAGGCGAGGTAATAGGTGAAACAGCCCAACCCACTAAAAGAGGTATCTTAAGCGCCTTGGCTTCTATATTTGACCCCCATGGGCTTGTTAGCCCTATAGCAGTATCAGCAAAAATCTTGTTTCAGGAGTTGTACTTAGGAAAAATCAGCTGGGACGATCCACTTCGTAAGGATAAGCTTGAAAGATGGGAAGAATGGGTCAAGGATTTAAAACAGACGGGTACAATTTGCCTTCCTAGGTGTGTTGTTTCCAAAAACAAAGGGAAGATATTGAGTCGGCAGTTGCACGGATTTGCTGATGCCAGCAAAAAAGCATATTGTAGGATGGTTTACCTTGTAGAAGAAACCACTGAGGGGACCTTTACTGGGCTGCTGAGTGCTAAGACAAGAGTTGCCCCTTTGAAGGAATTAACAATACCCCGGCTAGAACTAATGTCTGCAAGGGTACTAGCTACACTGATGAACACCATTATTCAAGCCTTCGGTCCACAGTTTAAGTTTGATTGCATTAAGTATTGGCTGGACAGTAAAACCGCTCTCTATTGGATCGATAACAATGGAGAATGGAAGCAATTTGTTCAGCATCGTGTCAATGAAATTGTGCGCTCAACCACCAAGGAAGACTGGGGACATGTATCAGGCATCGACAACCCAGCAGATCTAGGTTCTAGGGGGGTAACAGCAAGCCACTTGAAGGAGAGCACATTATGGTGGCAAGGACCTCATTGGTTAAAGGAAGGACAAAACAGCTTGCCTAATGTGTTCACATTAGAAGACTCGCCTGATGTGAAGGAAGAAAGAAAGAAGAACGCAAATGTGCTAATGCTCACAGATATGAGGCAAGGAGTGAGTGAGGTTGTTAAGGTCTAGGTAAGTTGCTCCGGGTCACTGCTTTTGTCCAGAGGTTTATAGAGATACTAAGGTGTCATAGAACAGGAAGCAAACCTAAAAAAGGACCCTTAACTGTGGAGGAAATAGAAAGAGCAGAAAGAACGTGGATTGAAGACACTCAACAATCTTTGAAGATGGGTGAAGATTTCAAAACGTTGTCAGTGCAGCTAGGTGTTGTAAGTGAAGCCAAGATTGTCATGCTAGAGTGCACCACAACAAACTCCGATCAACCCTAGCTGAATTTAGAAGAAGATTTTGGGTACCCCAGGGTAGGCAACAAGTGAAGCGGGTGATAGAAAAGTGCCAGATAACCCACCGTTTAACCCACCTCCTATTGCAGAACTACCAAGCTTTAGGGCAACTGAGACCCCACCTTTCAGCAACACTGGAGTCGACTTTACTGGTCCGTTATATGCAAAGAGCAGTACAGGTGAAATGAGAAAAGTATACATAACCTTATTCACCTGCTGTGTAACTAGAGCAATACATCTGGAATTGATTTCTGACTTGCATACATCTACGTTCGTTAATTGCTTAAGAAGGTTTTGTGCAAGAAGGGGAACTCCTAGACTTATAAACTCAGATAATGCTCTTACATTTAAGGCAGCAGTAAGTTTGTTGAAGAAGCTGACACAAGATCATATGTTCCAGGAGTTCACACAAAATCGTAGAATAATATGGAGATTTAACTTTTCCCTTTCCCCTTGGTGGGGAGGGTATTTTCAACGCATGGTGGGCAGCGTTAAGCGGTGTCTAAGGAAGGTACTAGGTAATGCTAGGTTGACATACGATGAGCTTAGTACAGTATTGACTGAAGTTGAGAATACCCTGAATTCCAGACCCTTAACCTATCTGTACGACAAACTCGGGGAAGCTTTGACACCTTCTCATTTACTTCATGGACGTAGACCCCCAGCTTTATCGGAGGATATAGAACCAGAGCTCGAGTTAGATGAAACTGGTAATAAACTTTCGAAAAGATTTTTATATCTTACAAAAAAACTCTCACATTTCTGGAATCGTTGGAAAAAGAGTATATGGTAGATTTAAGAGAGTTCCATAAGCTGAATAATCATAATAATATTATTGTTGAAAAGGGAGATCTAGTGTTGTTGCAGGAAGATAACATCAAACGTGGACAGTGGAAAGTTGGCATTGTGAAAGAAATTATATTCGGAAAGGATGGAGAACCAAGGGGTGCAACAGTACGTAAGTGTGAAAAGGGTAAGATTTTACATCTCAACCGACCCCTTCAAAAGCTCTACCCGTTGGAGATAGCTCGTGATAATAAAGGTGATAAGAGTGAGGAGAAAGTTCTGTCAAGGCAAGAAAGTGAATGTAGTGTTAGAGAGGAGAATGATAGTAGACGCCAGTCGAGCCGTGCCGCAGCCAAGGATGCGCGCTGGAAGTCTAAGCTTATGCTTGACCCATAACCTGGGTCAAGGAGGGGGGAATGTCGGGGAATCCCCATCGGGCTTTCTCCGGTATTCTAGTAAATTCTTAACCTATTATTCTTAAATCAACACGTTTATTTTTTATTGTGTATGTTTGGGTTACATAACTACGGAACTATGCAATTTACGTAAAAGCCTCACTTTGAGGCCGAGACAGTAGATTAAGGATCCAGCCAGAATTTTCTGGAAGCAAGCTATTGTAATAGGATTAACTACGTCAATCGTATTCTTAATTTTTATTGGCTTAAGTAGTGGTTAGAATTGATTGTGATTGGCTAAGATAAATTTTAGTTCCTTGTTTGCTTCTATAAAAGCTGGTAATTGAATCGATCGCTAAGGATTCGTAGAGAGAGATTTTTTCACGATGTACGTTGAGTTGTGTTGAGCGAAAAATTCGATTGGCGTCGAGTGATATCGAGTGAAATTTGATCTCTATCAAAAAAGTCGAGTGAAAAAGACGTTGTAGAGAATATCTACGAATCCTTAGCGCTCGATACAATTACCAGCTTCTATAGAAGCAAACAAGGAACTAAAATTTATCTTAACCAATCACAATCAATTTTAACTACTACTCAAGCCAATAAAAATTAAGAATACGATTGACGTAGTTAATCCTATTACAATAGCCTGCTTCCAGAAAATTCTGGCTGGATCCTTAATCTACTGTCGCGGCCTCAAAGTGAGGCTTTTACGTAAATTGCATAGTTCCGTAGTTATGTAACACAAGCATACACAATAAAAAAAACGTGTTGCTTTAAGAATAATAGGTTAAGAATTTACTAGAAAACCGAGAAAGCGCGATGGGGATTCCCCGACACTAAAATAAAGCCAGACTATCCAACTTTTATGATTTTGACTTCACGGAGTTTCACAGCTAACGTATCTAATCTGGAACTCGGGCTAATAGCTTAACCAACTGACAAAAAACCAGCAGAAAATTGATTAATCAAAAGAACGCTGACTATAGCACATGAAAAGTCAAGGGAGGTACGCTTTGCAAGGCTACAACTTCCCTGGCTGGGGGGGTTTTGCCCGAGTGCCCTGAGACATGGTCAATGCCTGAGACAAATACAAAGCAAGCAGATATAACTGGCAACAGCTGTTTAGCTTGATGTGAGGCCTTCTTTTTATTGACTCTAGACCAGGAGTGTAGAGCTAGGGGGCTCGGGGGCTGAGCCCCCCATATCAATGCCGAAAATTAGCCAATTTTTTACTTTTCCTACTGTTGTTAGCAACACTTTACGCATCTCTTATTTTTTGTAGCAACAAATAAACAATTCCTTCTGACATTAACAGTGTCGGTAAAACAGCACTGGAAATGTTTGTTTCAAATACATATTCTCTTTATCAGCTACAGACCGGAACACATGTCTAGCTGCACTGATGAGCACTGAAATTGGGCGAAACCGGATGTTGAACTAACCTTAAATTATTCACTTTTGGTTATTCATTGCTGACTTGTATAAAAATGTAAGTCGAAAAGAACCCATTTCTTTACGAATTATGTTGACAATTTATCGCCTAATGTCCCTCTTATCGCCATTGATATCCAAGCCGCGGCATGAAAACGAGTTTATGGGTCCGATCTACTGATCAGTGGTCCGATCTAGGGAAATCCCATGACCACAAACTTCGAAGGGCTCCGACAGGACACACGAGTTTGACTCAAATTTCAAAGCAGGTTCGTGCTGTTCTTGGTGAAAAGATGGATGGAAATGTTCTGTACCATTTATTGTTGCTTTTGCTTTGTATACGCTTAGGCAAATGCAATCAGCAAGCGTTTCAGAAGGCAAGTAGCAGCGGTGAGATTTGTAAGGAGAATATTTGCAAATTTGTCCTGACGCTACGAGAAGAGCTGAGCATGACAAGGACGATAAGACCGGGGAGAATTTGGACTTCAGGCGAAACCTTTTTACTTCAACTAGAGAACGGAAGGCTGATACAAAGGCTTGGAACATTTTATCAGCAGAAAGTTTACAACGATTACGATGGTCTTGTGGTTAACGCAACAACAGATACTATCACAGCAGACGGTGTTCGGCGATCGCTCATAACCATCAACGGTCAGTTCCCTGGTCCTATGCTCGAGGTTATGGAAGGCAGCGAGGTAAGGCCATGCGACAATATGAAAGCATTTAGCAAGCAAGATCGTCCTTCATTTTATCTCGGTGTTAAAGGCATTGAGTCATGGTAAATAGGCCTTCTCTATAGGGGTTATTTAATTTCGGCGTGATCGCTGCTGTTTCATGTGATATTCGCATCCGTTGTTGACAACTTGCTATTGATGAAAATGCTTTGTCAATCAGTACGAGGTGAGTTCGTGTGACCAGTTACAGGTCAACCAATAGCATCGCAGTCATGAAGATCATGACTCAGCGGATTTTGGTACTTAGGGTATACCCAATCTATTTTATCATGATTCGATGCCTTTAAGGCTTCATATAACGTATTCGACGTATTTCATTCCCTGGAAGGGTGTAGAAAGAAAGGGACTGTTAGTCATTAATCAATATTTTCAGGCGATACAAGGCCCTGTCATTAATCATTAATCATTAACTATTAATCATTAATCAGGCGATACAAGGCCCTGTTAGTCATTAATAAATATTTTTGGCTCCAGTTAAGCCGAGAACCCACTCCGGAAAATGATCCGCGGATCGGATCAGATTTTGTGTTGCGCAAGCGCTTTGGATGCAAATATGGTCACATGACTGATCCGCCACGGATCGAAACGGATCGAAAAAAAAGTTGAAATTTGAACCGTTCCGGTACAGTAGTTTTCTTTTGATCAAAATCGAATTAGAACTTTTTAAACAATAGGGCACTTACGTCATGAGGCACGAATCCCGTGGAGATAATGTCAACGTGCATTCCAATCTGAAACGATCCGCGGATCGAAAGAACAACACGATCTGACCCGATCCGCGGATCATTTTCCGGAGTGGGTTTTCGGCTTTAGTCGAAATTTCTTTTTAGTACAAAACTGTTGGTTTTAACATTGTTTCATAGTTTCATGCACCAAAAGCAAAATTCTTATGATTTCTTAATTGAATTGCAACAACAAAAACAGCCTGACAAGGGACGTTCAGAAATTGTAATCCTCTTTCATACGTAGAACAGATTAAACGGCCAAAAGAAAAAACACTATCATTCTAAAGAGAAATCATAGGAAATACCGACATATTACGTAATGAAAATTGAAAAATTTTTGAAAAACTTTCAACGTCAAAGGAGATCAAGGACTTTACAGTGAGTCATTTGAAAGTCCATCCATCCTTATACTTGGCATTCGCTATTAGCCTTTTTGCCCTTGTGTGTAAACGTTGCAGTTGGGATAGTTTGGTATTGGAGAGAGCACTCCTGACGCGATATTCACACATGTATCATCAGCTTACATATTTGGGATCGTGCTTTTTAGACAATTCTCAAAATCGTTAATGTATAGTATGAAGAGTAAGGGTCCCAAACACTAGCCCTGCGGAATACCGCACTCAATGCTGATTTTGCTGGAAGTGGATCCGTCTGTTTTAGCAAAGTCTGTTTTATCTCTTTAGAAACTCCATTAGTTAGTCGTGTACAATCTTTTCTAGAATTCTAGACACAATTGATAACACTGAGATAGGCCGGTAATTGTTTACATCTGTTTTTGTGCCCGTCTCATGAATAGGTGTTACTCTGGCTAATTTCCAGATTTGGGGGACAATGCCCCTTTCTAAAGATGCATTATATATCAGTGTCGTTTATAGGATCTTTCAGGATTTTGACGGGGATTCTGTCGGCACCACGAGCCTTAGAGTTATTAAGAGCTTTTATAGCACGTTCTATATATCCTACACTTACTATCTGAAGCTTAAATTTGGTTCCTCCGGCTCTATTTCCAAAAAACTTAAGAGGGTCATCGGAAGGCTGACTTTGTATTTTCCCCGCTAACTTAGGTCCAACCGTTGTAAAATGTTTGTTGAAAGCTTCTGAAAATTGTGAAGGTGATTTTAGTTCTGTGCCTTCAAAAATAATGCTTTGAGTCGCAGTGTCATTTGAGTTCTTATGTAAAACCTTATTTATTGTTTTCCACATAGCTTTTGGATTGTTTTGGGTTTCATCAATAAGGTTGTGGTAATATTCCTGTACCCTTGCACGAAGTTCAGAAGTTACTTTGTTCCGCAATTTCTTATAGTCTGGCCAATAGGAAGCATCATTTTCGGATCTCTTTTTAGTTAAATCACGTACATTAACGTTCGGCCCCAAAACTTTGCTTTGCCATTTTTTGGATGCCTCTGTAGCATGCATCGACACCCTCTTTTTGGTAATGTGCAAATATTTGGGCCTGCCGTAACCGTTTACACGAGGCCGCTCTCGAATTCGGCCGGCCAAGTTTCAAGAAGGACGCTTTCCTAGGTGGCCGAATATTTGGACGCCTAAGCGACCTGATTTGAGGTCGTTTAGCCGTCTCCGTGTAAACGCAAGGCCTAAGTGACCAAATATTTGACCGATCAAATAGTCGGCCGCCCCGTGTAAGCGCAGCCTAAGACATGGCTCTCGGGGAGCGGAAATTCATGTAGTAGTTAAGGGTCCTTTTTGATCCATCGTAGTTAATGGAGTGGCAAGAAATAAGAATTTTTGACGCTATGCATAGCGGCCTTGGTCACACTATTCATGCAGCAGCAACGTGCAAAAGTGTTTTTGGAAGAAGACAGAATTCACAGTCAGGTGTTTGGCTAATGTTCCATTTGAAGAGATTTTTACGAGTTGGAAGAGTGCTGTTAAAGCAGTGGCGGAACTAGACAAACATTTGAGTGGGTTCCAATATGGGCGTGGTCCCATATTTTTCTGGCAACGCCTTTGACTTTTTCCAAAATTGGGCGACACCCATTTTCGCTTTTTTCTAAGATTCACAATTGCAAGATTTTATTTTAACAAGATATATTATTTCATCATGATTCCAAGGCAAGTAAAAAAATAAATCTGTAAACCAAACCAGGAATTGTCATTATGAATTCTAAAAGAATGGTTTCGATTTCTTGCCAAACAGAGGACCTTAATAAATTCCTCTAGCTGGTTACAGCAAGACATAAGCTTACTGAGTGTTGCAAGATTTGAGTGAAATTCCTGCTTTAGATATTACCAAATAATAAGCAAGACAAATTTACATGTATTCATCAATTTTGTCAAAAATGGATAACGATGGACGAAGCCTCTTATCATATATAGCAAACAAACCCAATTATTAAAAAGTGCAAATTATGACATATGAAATCATCTTATCCCATTCTCTAAAGTTTTTCATTTTATCTTAATAAAGTTTTCCAACTCTATAGATAAATATATTATGTATAGGGCTTCAAGAGTTCTATAAACTTTCCACGTCAAAGAGAAAATATCTTCGACATTCCTGAGTTCCTGCCAAGAATTCTCTGCTGCTAATTGCAACGAATTCTCTCGTGAACGCCACTTTACACCTATGTGAAATGGACTTTTTGCTTGATCCATGGGCAAAAAAAGCGGTGATATGTTTTCTCCGGGTTGGCTAGGCCAGTCGAGAAAAATAAGCAAATAGTTGGCGAGGCGTGTTTGAAAAGCTTTGTTGAAAATTCATAGCACTCTTTCATACGATTATCAAATTTCATTGATCTTCAGGTGCTGGTCTCTTCCTTGTTGAGGGCTTAAAACAAGCTCTCGTCATCGTGCAGTCAAAGCCTCCACTCGCAGCTTCACGTCGCCATTATGACAACAGGAAGCATGTATGGTCAGCGGTCTAAATAAGTTCCAATGAGTTCATGAGATGGGTTCCAAGGGGGGTCTTTTGTTTGTAGCAATAAAACAATATAAGACAATCGATTGCCATGGCTACGAAAGGGTTCCTTTCTTAAAAAATACAATATGATACAAAGGGTTGCCTTGGGTACGACAGGGTTCCTTTCTTTAGAGGAATATAATACATTACAAAAGATAACCATGGCTACGACAGGGTTTCTTTTTTTCACAATATCATATTTAGAGAGCAGCAAAGGTTTTAGTACAAGAGGCCATTTGACGTTGGGACTCATTGCGATTCATTCGAAAGTAAAGGGAAAACTGGTGTTATGTGTCTTTGGAAAGTTTGACAGGGTTCCAGAACCCTTGGAACCCGGTCTGAATCTGCCACTATGTTGAAATACTTCATGCTAAAGTTGAAGATATTAGCTGGCAGATTCCTCTGTGTACTTGACCAAATACCGTTCAGCTTTTCCAGTGATTATGTCAGTAGAAAGAAAATTTCAGCTCCCTGAGATGTTTTATTTTGAGGAAAACGTTCTTTGTTATCTGATTTTACAGCAGTTAGTACCTCTTTCGTTTCGTATTACGATGGATGTCGTACTTAAGGCTCGAGCTGTGGCTGGTGTATTTCCAAAGATTCGAATGTCGATGTAAGGAGAAGACTTTATGCCATTACGAGTGACAGTTTGGCATTGCGTAAATTTGACAGAAGGCATTTGTAGATTCAGGTAAAACTGGTTTTTTGAGAGGATTGTTCAATTCAAGGTAACAGAAAGTTGAAGATCAAGCCAATGGCGAATGTAATTGGACACAAGATTGTCTAGATTTTGAAAATCCCAGATCTTTGGTAGATCTGCAACAGTAAAATGCCACGAGACATTAGACAGAACATATCGATGGTGTAATAGCCGATTTTCTGGATGGAGAGGGAAGTCGTCAATATCCTTCATAAGAATAGAGAACAGAGAAACGAGTTTAGATTTATGATCTTGGTTACTCATTTCAAAATCAAACGGCCAAGATACTTAGAAGAATCGTCATTCTTGTCAGCAAGCACTATCTGGTTACAGAAAAAAAGTTTCGGTTAAAATTGGAGGGATCGCCAGTGGCGGATTCAGGGTGTCGTACCAGTCGTACGAAAGGCTGTTAGATACCCAGAATTTAGTTTTCGTCTTCAGTCAATAAAATTAGGCAATCATTTTTTACCACATTTTCGGAAGAGGAGCACAGGGTGTATACACTTCTGAATCTCAAGATATGTTGTTTCAACTGCGTGTTGGATTTGCTGGGAAATTTGGAAAACCTTTTAAAGGCAAAAATGTTTGACTGAACAATTTGAACGTTTCAGAGCTG